TTATGTTGTTTAAATTCTGCCGCACTGGCCTTAGCCTGACAAGACCTTGCCCTGTCACTGAGGCCTCTCTGTGGTATTACGTTACAATAAAATGGTCAAAATTTGAGACTTATACCATATGGTCTTCTGGATCCAATTCTTACCACGTTGTCCTAGATTGGCAGATGAATCCAGCCCTCCAGTCTTGCAGTGACTGGGAGCAACAGGACAATATCAGTAGCGTTAGAACCAAATATTTTGGGTAGCAATATTTTTAAGGCACAGTCCTACTGCTTAGCACAACACAGATGTGTAACCTTCTTATCATTCCTAGAACTGTTTCCCAGGTGCAAGCTGATAGAGACCGTGCTGCAACCGATAACCTTCAGCATGCATCTAAGTAGTTAAGAAAGCAGAACAGGTAAGGGAAAATGTTTGTAGTAGATCAGAAACACAGATTTTGTGTGCTGAGTCAGCCCACAGAAAGACCCAAACTTCTTTGGCCCACCTTGAATTGAAGCCAGAGTCTTGATACTGTGGATACAGAGTACCCTTCTGTGGGAAAATACCTCCCATTGAATCTCTTCTCTCATTTAGTGATGCTGGTGTCTCACCTACCATGCTGGGTAGCCTGGCTGTGCTGCTCTCTCTGGAGCACTCCCTGTTATTCATTTGGGGTTCTCTGACGTCAGCTCTGAGGTCAGGCAGGCAGGGCCACGCCTGTCCCTTGCCGGCTCCCAAACACAAAAGACTATAGATAGCTGTTGCAGCAAATGCTTTTCATTAAGTACTCCCCTCTCCTCAGACCGCCCGCCCAGTTGGGGGTGGGAGCAGCATGGGGCCCCTAGATGCCTGTGCTGCGCTGCTATGTGTTTTCTGTTATTTGGGGTGAGTTCTGCATTCCTCACAAGCTTTGAATGTCGTGCAGAGCCCCAGGGGAACCCTCAGAGGAGTGGGAGGAGAGACCAGGCAGGGGAAGGTTGCCCATGCACACCAGGGAAGAGGCACCCCCTCCCCGTCAGCCGGTGAAGATGTCCAAACCAGAGGGAAGTGCCAGGTCTATGACAGCATCCCCGCCACACACAGCACCCACCCCCTCTCAGAAGTGTATCTGAAAACTTTCTACTTCCTACTAGCCGGACTTGCTTAGCTAGCCTTAGTCTAGCAAAACACAGGCCAAGAGGTGATAAATCTGTCTGCTTGTACGCTTGGAGTCAGTGCCAGAACGGCAAAGGAACAATTTGAGATTAAGACTAACTGTGAATCAAGAATAAATGGATATAAATTGGCCATTAATACATGCAACAAGAAATCTGGAGGAGATTTCTAGCTATTACAGCAATCAGGCTCCAAAACATCCTTCCAAACTAAGAAGGACACAGAAGCAAAAATGCCATCTGCTTCTAAACTAGAGCCTGATAAAATGATGATTGATTACAGGATTTTATACCTGTGACAGCTAGGGATTGGACGCGCAGACCCAAGAATGGCCGCACACCACCTTCTCATGCTTTACCAAGGAAATCTCATCTAGAGACTCCTTTCCTGGAGCACACGTGCGGTGTCTTGTACTAAGGACAGGAGACTAACCTCCCAACCCCCTGCTCCCCCCCGCAAAACTGTTTGGGTCTGTGTTCTTGTGTTAAACCCAAGATGCCCAGTTCATGTTTCAGTGTCTTCTCACAGAGTTTGCACAGAAGGTTGTTATGGATATAGAAACGTAGGACTGGAGAGGACTCCCTGGGACGGCTGGATGCAGTGAGCTCAGTGGCCGCTCCCCAACTTTGCCATGTGTTTTGTTCCATCACAATTCTCAGGATGCTAGTATAACTGGAAATCCTGCAGGATCTGAAGTGCCAGCAGGATGGGCTAGCATTCCCCGTAAGTCTTAACCTGTAACTAAATCAAAACCTCATTTCCAGATTCCAGAGATGTGACAAGATCAACAAAATGATGAACAGCTAGGAAAAGGGAACCTGGAGGAAAAGGAAGCCTTGATCTCTGCAGAAACTGCGCACACGTCTAGAATACAAATAGAAACATAGGAGCTACAATAAGGTACTGTATCCTGCGCTATAACTGCCGCAGCTAGGACTAGCTACTTCAGGTATGCCAGGAATCACCTAAAACGCAACACTAATAAAATACACCTCAGAGAAAAATTTTCATGTGGTTGTTGATAAAATGCTAGCACCGGGCCGAGGATTGAACTTTATGGGTCCCAGTTAGAGATATGCATATATATCTGTGAAAGTGGCACTTTGAGACTGTAACTTATTTAATGCACAATATACTAATTTGTGCTGCGCGAGACGTGCAGAGGCACCGAATAGGACGTAAGCGCAGTACTCATGACATCTTACGTGGCTCAGGCTGCCACGGCTCCTCTACAACTCCTAGTACAAATCCTAAAGAGAAATAACAGGGAACATTCACCTCCTCTGGACCGACACCCCCATGGCCTTCCGCCCGTTTGTCCTCCACGCTTGCGAACCCCAAGAAGCCGTGTCCCAAAACACGTGCCGCCACCAGCGCCGGCTCGACTGCAAACCGCAGCCCAGGGAACAGAGCGTGGGCAGAACCGCTGCGGGTCCTGCTGCGCAGAGCTCTGCACCCCTCCACGGAGCCCCGCACCCCGCCAGGGAACTCGGCACCCTGCCCCGGGGAGCCCCGCACCCTGCCCCGGGGAGCCCCGCACCCTCCGGGCGGCTCCGCATCCCGCCAGGGAACTCGCCCCGCACCCTGCCCCGGGCCAGCTCCGCACCCTCCGGGCGGCTCCGCACCCCGCCTGGGAGATGGGCACCCTGCCCCGGGGACCCCCGCACCCTCCGGGCGGCTCCGCACCCCGCTCCTGGCGCCGCGCTGCCCGCCGCTCCTCCGCTTACCGCCCCGAGGCTGCCCGGTGC